TCCGTGGGGCAACGTGTCGGGTTCGGGGTTCGGGGTTTTCAAGCGTTTCCGTCGGCCCTCCTCGGCTCTCCCGACTCGTGGTGCCCTCCAGCAGCTGCACCTCGCAGACGGCGTGTCGGGGCTGCCCGCACAGCCGAGCACGGACCCGAAAACCACCAGGGCAACGTTGGATAGCTCAGGGGGGGAAATGCATCGACCACCAATCGCCCACTGATCGCCGCTGGGGGCCCGATACCCGATACCGCAACAAGAGAGCAGCACAAAAACACACTTCCGGCGCTCCGCGCGGATTTCTTGGATCTGCGCCGGGCCACCCTGGCGGCGCCCCTGGCGCTGCCCCTGGTGCGCTCCGCGCGCCAGGGAGGGGGGTCCAGTGCCGATCCAACAAATCCGCGCGAGCCTCCGAAAGTTTACAGATTCATGGTTCGCCGAGCGCGTTCCACTAATTGGCAAAGTGCCCACTCGCAAATGCCTGACACAGAAATAGCTGTCTCGACGTCATGGATCGTATGAATCCCTCGCGGCGGATCCAGTCTAACGGTGCGTTTTGTTCCTCAAGATACTTCCGGCCCGCCCGGGATCGGGCGGTTCTGCCACTGGGGCTATACACACATATATATATATATATATATATATATATATATATATATATATTCTCATACGCACCTCTCCGAGGGAGTAAAGCTCAGAGGCGATTAATGCGTCCGTCGTTCGCGATTTTTCTGGCCGTTTCGCTCGGGACATCCTCGAAATTCTGAAAATCGGTGGCACCACTCACGCAGATCGTGACGTCAGGGTCCAAAAACACATAGGATTTCCAACATTTTATCATAAAACCTTCAAAAACACATGGTAATTTCAATGATTTTGACTCCGATTCTCAGAGAATGGCGGTTTCGCCTGAGACATCCTCCCAAAATCGAGCCCCAGACCCCTCCTCGGAGCCTCCTGGGGGCCTCCTGGAACCTCCTGGGGCCTCCTGGGGCTTTCTGGACCTTCTGGTACCCCAGACCCCGCCTCGGAGCCTCCTGGAGTTCTCCTGGGCCTGCTGAGGCCGCCTGGGGCCTCCTGGGGCCTCCTGGGGCCTCCTGGGGCTTCAGAACTACATGCACACACAGAGACACAAATCACGCCCAACACATCACACGCTAGACAAACATAACATACACACACACAACACCGACAACACGCAAAAAGCACGCACCACACAAAGCACACATCACACACACACAACACTCACAATCCTGGGGCCTCCTGGAGCCTCTCCTGGTATCCAAGTCGGGCCTCCTGAGGCTTCCTGGGGGGCCCTGGTACACACATCGCAAGGTGTGGCAACCCCACTTGCGCTCGAGTGCGACTTCGCTGTTGCATGTCACTCCTGCTTCAAACGCCCCTTCAGCTTGTTGTATGAGCCTGGGCACACACGTGCCACTTGTGTATATATATATATATATATATATATATATATATACATACATATAACGGCGCACCGGGTCCGGGGGCCCGGGGCCGGGACCTCGACCACAAATGTGCGCCCCGGGGGGCCCGGAGGCTCGTCGGGGCTTGCCGGAGGCCTCCCCAGTCAGACAAGACGGCCCAAGAAGCGCCCAAGACGGCCCAAGAAACTTCCAAGAGGCCTCCAAGAGGGCTCCGAGATGCTGAAGATGGCCTCCAGACGTCCAAGGAGGCCCCCAAGAGGCCCCAAGAAGCCTCCAACATGCGTCCCAAGAGGGCCCCTAGACGCAAAAATTGGCCCATTCCCTTCGTAAAACGTACATTTTCAACAAAGTTGTCTTTTGGGCTTTCCGACGTTACAGGACGGCCCAAGAGGCGCCCAAGACCGCCCCAAGACGGCCCAAGAAGCTTCCCAGAGGGCCCCAGGACAGCCCAAGAGGGCCCCAAGACGGCCCAAGAGGCGCCCAAGATGGCCCAAGAGGGCCCCAAGACGGGCCCAAGAGGGGGCCCAGAGGGGGACCACGAACCGCAAGCTCGAGCCTTCCGCCCCAAGAGGCCGCCAGGAGGCCCCCAGGAGGCCCCTCAAGAGGCCCCAGGAGACCCCAGACGTCCAAGGACGCCCCCAAGAGGCTCCAAGAAGCCTCCAACATGCGTCCCAAGAGGGCCCCTAGACGCAAGAATTGGCCCATTCCCCTCGTAAAACGTACATTTTTAACAAAGTCACCTTTTGGGCTTTCCGACGTTACAGGACGGCCCAAGAGGCGCCCAAGACCGCCCCAAGACCGCCCAAGAAGTTTCCCAGAGGGCCCCAGGACAGCCCAAGAGGGCCCCAAGACGGCCCAAGAGGCGCCCAAGATGGCCCAAGAGGGCCCCAAGACGGGCCCAAGAGGGGGCCCAGAGGGGGACCACGAACCGCAAGCTCGAGCCTTCCGCCCCAAGAGGCCGCCAGGAGGCCCCTAGGAGGCCCCTCAAGAGGCCCCAGGAGACCCCAGACGTCCAAGGACGCCCCCAAGAGGCCCCAAGAAGCCTCCAACATGCGTCCCAAGAGGGCCCCTAGACGCAAAAATTGGCCCATTCCCTTAGTAAAACGTGCATTTTCAACAAAGTTGTCTTTTGGGTTTTCCGACGTTACAGGACGGCCCAAGAGGCGCCCAAGACCGCCCCAAGACGGCCCAAGAAGCTTCCAAGAGGGCCCCAGGACAGCCCAAGAGGGCCCCAAGACGGCCCAAGAGGCGCCCAAGATGGCCCAAGAGGGCCCCAAGACGGGCCCAAGAGGGGGCCCAGAGGGGGACCACGAACCGCAAGCTCGAGCCTTCCGCCCCAAGAGGCCGCCAGGAGGCCATCAGGAGGCCCCTCAAGAGGCCCCAGGAGACCCCCAAGAGGCCCAAAGGAGGCCCAAGGACAGCCCAAGAGGGCCCCAAGACGGCCCAAGAGGCGCCCAAGATGGCCCAAGAGGGCCCCAAGACGGGCCCAAGAGGGGGCCCAGAGGGGGACCACGAACCGCAAGCTCGAGCCTTCCGCCCCAAGAGGCCGCCAGGAGGCCCCCAGGAGGCCCCTCAAGAGGCCCCAGGAGACCCCAGACGTCCAAGGACGCCCCCACGACGCTTCGCGTCACCAATTTCTTCTCACAACGGTTCCTGGGTCTGTGACTCGACAGAACCTAAGCGCGCGCGAAGCGCGCGCGTGGTTCTAGATATATATATATATATATATATATATGTGTGTGTACACACACACATATACCGCCGATCTCTCGGCGAGGAATACCTTCGCTCGACGGCTCCCCCCCCCAAGATTTCTAGGGAGGCCTCCAGAGCACCCCTCACGAGGCCCACAGGGGGCCCCAGGGGCCTCAAGCTTGATCGAGAAGCTGGGGGCGCCCTGGCCCGGGCGCACCTCCCGCACCCCCCTGGCGGATGCCTCCGGCCCGCCCGGGAGCGGGCGGTCCTGCCACCGGGGGCCCATGCCGCCGATCTCTCGGCGAGGTGCGCCTTCGCTCGACGGCTTCCCCCCAAGGAGCCAGCCCTCCCTACTTGTAAGTCGGGCCTGTCCCTCGACTGGGGGGGAAATTCAAAGATGGTCAAACAATAGTCAGGGGACTATTTACCTAACAGCGAAGACTGATAGGTTTCTAGTAGTGTCAAAAGAGCTCACAGATCACTCCACAGGGGGGTCCGGGCAGGTGTTGGGAGTTGCCGGGCGGGTTGTGTCCACCTCGTTTTTCACCAACAGTCACACACTTCGTGCTCTTCGAGTTCCCAGAACTCCATTCCCAGGCTCATTCTGAATAACCGGATGCAACAGTCACACACTTCGTGCTCTTCGAGATCCCAGAACGCCATTCCCGGGCCACCTTTAGAATAACCGGATGCAACAGTCAAACACTTCGTGCTCTTCGAGTTCCCAGAACTCCATTCCCGGGCCACATTCTGGAGGGCCGGATGCAACAGTCACACACTTCGTGCTCTTCGACTTCCCAGAACTCCATTCCCGGGCCACATTTTGGATGCCCGGAGCCAACTGTAGGCCACTTCGTGCTCTTCTATTTCCCAGAACTCCATTCCCGGGCCACATTTTGAATGCCCGGAGCCAACTGTAGGCCACTTCGTGCTCTTCGAGTTCCCAGAACTCCATTCCCGGGCCACATTTTGAATGCCCGGAGCCAACTGTAGGCCACTTCGTGCTCTTCGAGTTCCCAGAACTCCATTCCCGGGCCACATTTTGAATGCCCGGAGCCAACTGTAGGCCACTTCGTGCTCTTCGAGTTCCCAGAACTCCATTCCCGGGCCACATTTTGAATGCCCGTAGCGAACTGTAGGCAACTTCGTGCTTTTCGACTTCCCAGAATTCCGATTCCTGGGCCACATTTTCAGCAGGGGCAAGAGCACGACGAGGAGGAGGACGAGCAAGACCAGGAGGACGAGGACGAGCAGGAGCAGGACGAGGAGCAGGAGGAGCAGGAGAAGAAGGACGAGCAGGAGGAGGAGGAGACGAGCAGGAGGAGGACGACCAGGAGGAGGAGGACGACCAGGAGGAGGAGGAGAGAGGAGGAGGAGGAGGAGGAGGAGAGGAGGAGGAGGGGAGGGGGAGGAGTACCAGGAGGAGGAGGAGGAGGAGGAGGAGGAGGAGGAGGAGGAGGAGGAAGAGGAGGAGGAGGAGGAGGAGGACGAGGACGAGGAGGAGGAGGAGGAGGGGGGGGGAGAGTACCAGGAGGAGGAGAACGAGGACCACCAGGAGGAGGAGGAGGAGGAGGAGGAGGAGGAGGAGGAGGAGGAGGAGGAGGAGAGAACACCAGGAGGAGGAGGACGAGCAAGACGAGGAGGACGAGAACGAGGACGACCAGGAAGAGGAGGAGGAGGAGAGGAGGAGGGGAGGGGGAGGACTACCAGGAGGAGGAGGAGGAGGAGGAGGAGGAGGAGGAAGAGGAGGAGGAGGACGAGGAGGAGGAGGAGGAGGAGGACGAGGAGGAGGAGGGGGGGGGAGAGCACCAGGAGGAGGAGAACGAGGACCACCAGGAGGAGGAGGAGGAGGAGGAGGAGGAGGAGGACGAGAACACCAGGAGGAGGAGGACGAGCAAGACGAGGAGGACGAGAACGAGGACGAGCAGGAGGAAGAGGAGGAGGAGGAGGAGGAGGAGGAGGAGGAGCAGGAGAAAGAGGAGGAGGAGGAGGAGGAGGCAGGCTGAGGCTGAGGCTGTGACTGCGACTGCCGTTGCCGCTGCGACTGTCATCGCGAATGCGACTACGACTGCGAGAACAGCAGAATTCGACAACTGGATTTTCATCTGAATCTTAAGGGGAATGCTTTCAGATATGCTTCTACACATCGCTGTTAGGTTGCTTTGCCGGGATAATTTTTTACTGTTTTTGGGGATTTCTGGAATATTTTTAGGGTATTATTTATTTTTCGTCCAAAATCCCCCTGTGGGGGGGCCCGACTTAACCCTACTTATAGCGCTGCCCCCCCTCGAGGCTGCGGTGGCGCCAGTTTCGGGCGCTGGCCGCCTTCCTGAACGGCTCGCCCAACGAGGACGTCCGTCGTCGTCGCCGCCGCTCGTCGTCGTCGTCGTCGTCGTCGTCGTCGTCGTCGTCGTCGTCGTCGTCGTCGTCGTCGTCGTCGTCGTCCTCGGTCGTGCCCGCGTCGCGAGCAAGAGTCGCACGGTGCCAGAGCCTGTCGGCTACGCGCCTGAACGACCCGTGCGCCGGAGGGGCACCCGGGGCGGACCCAGAGCCTGTTTTTTTTTTGATTCAGGCAAGTTTACTTGCATGGCGTTCGCCCCCCCCCCCCCCCTCGCCCCTCTTCAAGCGAATACTAGCGTGCAAGTGCCTTCCGACTTGCGTGATTTCCGCGCCCCCCCGAACGTGCAAGTCGTTTGCGGCTTGCTTCAGGCTCAGCCCCCCCCGTCCATGCAAGTAAACTTGCCAGAGTCTAAAAAATTATCCCGGCAAAGCAACCTAACATCGATGTGTAGGAGCATATCTGGAAGCATTCCCCTTAAGATTCGGATGAGAATCCAGTTGTAGAATTCTGCTGTTCTCGCAGTCGTAGTCGCATTCGCGATGACAGTCGCAGTGGCAACGGCAGTCGCAGTCACAGCCTCAGCCTCAGCCTGCCTCAGCCTCAGCCTCAGCCTGCCTCAGCCTCAGCCTGCCTCAGCCTCAGCCTCAGCCTGCTTCAGCCTCAGCCTCAGTCTGCCTTCAGCCTCGGCCTCAGCCTGCCTCAGCCTCAGCCTGCATCAGCCTCAGCCTCAGCCTCAGCCTCTCAGCCTCAGCCTCAGCCTCAGCCTGCCTCAGCCTCAGCCTCAGCCTGCCTCAGCCTCAGCCTCAGCCTCAGCCTCCTGCTTCAGCCTCAGCCTCAGTCTGCCAGCCTCAGCCTCAGCCTGCCTCAGCCTCAGCCTGCCTCAGCCTCAGCCTCAGCCTGCCTCAGCCTCAGCCTCAGCCTGCTTCAGCCTCAGCCTCAGTCTGCCTCAGCCTCGCCTCAGCCTCAGCCTCAGCCTGCCTCAGCCTCAGCCTCAGCCTGCCTCAGCCTCAGCCTCAGCCTCAGCCTCAGCCTGCCTCAGCCTCAGCCTCAGCCTGCTTCAGCCTCAGCCTCAGTCTGCCTTCAGCCTCGGCCTCAGCCTCAGCCTGCCTCAGCCTCAGCCTGCATCAGCCTCAGCCTCAGCCTGCCTCAGCATCAGCCTGCCTCAGCCTCAGCCTCAGCCTGCCTCAGCCTCAGCCTCAGCCTGCTTCAGCCTCAGCCTCAGTCTGCCTTCAGCCTCGGCCTCAGCCTCAGCCTGCCTCAGCCTCAGCCTGCATCAGCCTCAGCCTCAGCCTCAGCCTGCCTCAGCCTCAGCCTGCCTCAGCCTCAGCCTCAGCCTGCCTCAGCCTCAGCCTCAGCCTGCTTCAGCCTCAGCCTCAGTCTGCCTTCAGCCTCTCAGCCTCAGCCTGCCTCAGCCTCAGCCTGCATCAGCCTCAGCCTCAGCCTCAGCCTGCTTCAGCATCAGCCTGCCTCAGCCTCAGCCTCAGCCTGCCTCAGCCTCAGCCTGCCTCAGCCTCAGCCTCAGCCTGCTTCAGCCTCAGCCTCAGTCTGCCTTCAGCCTCGGCCTCAGCCTCAGCCTGCCTCAGCCTCAGCCTGCATCAGCCTCAGCCTCAGCCTCAGCCTGCCTCAGCCTCAGCCTCAGCCTCAGCCTGCCTCAGCCTCAGCCTCAGCCTGCCTCAGCCTCAGCCTCAGCCTGCTTCAGCCAAAGCCTCAGTCTGCCTTCAGCCTCGGCCTCAGCCTCAGCCTGCCTCAGCCTCAGCCTGCATCAGCCTCAGCCTCAGCCTCAGCCTGCCTCAGCATCAGCCTCAGCCTCAGCCTCAGCCTGCCTCAGCCTCAGCCTCAGCCTGCTTCAGCCTCAGCCTCAGTCTGCCTTCAGCCTCGGCCTCAGCCTCAGCCTGCCTCAGCCTCAGCCTGCCTCAGCCTCAGCCTCAGCCTGCCTCAGCATTCAAAATGTGGCCCGGGAATGGAATTCTGGGAACTCGAAGAACACGAAGTGGCCTACAGTTGGCTCCGGGCATTCAAAATCATGCCCAGGAATGGAATTCTGGGAACTCGAAGATCACGAAGTGGCCTACAGTTGGCTCGGGGCATTTAAAATGTGGCCCGGGAATGGAGTTCTGGGAAGTCGAAGAACACGAAGTGGCCTACAGTTGGCTCCGGGCATCCAAAATGTGGCCCGGGAATGGAGTTCTGGGAATCGAAGAGCACGAAGTGGCCTACAGTTGGCTCCGGGCATCCAAAATGTGGCCCGGGAATGGAGTTCTGGGAAATCGAAGAGCACGAAGTGGCCTACAGTTGGCTCCGGGCATCCAAAATGTGGCCCGGGAATGGAGTTCTGGGAAATCGAAGAGCACGAAGTGGCCTACAGTTGGCTCCGGGCTTCCAAAATGTGGCCCGGGAATGGCGTTCTGGGAGGTCAAGGAGCACCAAGTGTGTGACTGTTGCATCCGGTTATTCAGAATGTGGCCTGGGAATGGGGTTCTGAGAGGTCGACGAGCACGAAGTGTGTGACTGTTGGTGAAAAACGAGCCCGGCACAGGCCCGGCCGGCAACTCCCAACGCCTGCCCGGACCCCCCTGTGGAGTGATCTGTGAGCTCTTTTGAGTCAACTAGAAACCTATCAGTCTTCGCTGTTAGGTAAAAACAAGCTCCCACCGCCCCCCCCCCCCCCTCCCCCGGCACTGGGGCTGCGCGCCTGGAGCTGCCCCCTGCCCGCCCGCCCCCCCGCCCCGCCGCGGCCCCCCGAGAGCCGCCCGGGGGTTGGCTCTCTGCCCGGGGTTGGCGCGCGTGCCCCACGGCGCTGCGCAGACGAGGCTCCTTCTCCTCCTTCTCCTCCTCCTCCTCCTCCCTCCCTCCTCCTCCTTCCTCCTCCTCCTCCTCCTCCTCCTCCTCCTCCTCCTCCTCAGCGTCGCGACACGTCGCGACCAGAGCCCCAGACCCCATCGTTTGGCAGCATCTGCCGAGCTCCATCGACCTGTGACGGCCCCGGGGCCCGACGCCGGGCGCACGCGCTCGGTGTGGAAAAACAGAATCCCGTGCAGACCCCCGCCGTCAGGAGTTTTTCCTGACGTGGGCCCCCGGCGGTCTGGACCCGTTCCCCGGGACCTGTTTTTTGCATCCCGAGTCGTTTTTCGAATAGCGAAACCCTGCCCGTCGTGTTTTTGTTCGTGACCCGCGGGGGCCTGGGTTTGCCGAGCGCCGTCGACCTGTCACGGTCCTGGGGCCCGAGCCAGGCGACAGCGACCGGTGTGAAAAGCACGCGTGCAGCGCCCCGAAGATCTCAGGGTGCGTGCGTGCGACCGACGCGCTCTGGCGAGGACCTCGCTCCCGGCGACCTCCCGGACCTCGGGGCCCTGTCCCCGGCCGGGCTGCGGCGCGTGGTCTCGTTCGTGGGCGAGGAGCCAGGAGGGACAAATCCCAGGCATGATCGCGTCGGTTAGATCATCAGGGCGGGAGGCTTTCGGCAGTTTTCGGCCTCGGGGGGGCCCTCGCCGGGCCTCGGGAGGGAGCGTGGAACAACGACCCGGGATGAAAAACCGGTCCCGGGGAGAGGGTCGGGACTTCCAGGGACGCCGCACTGAAAAAATCAGGACGTCGCATGCCTGGGCAGGCACGAACACAAGTAAGAGCTGATTATCGTGCCAATGGGAATGCGGAGAAGAGGCTCATCCAGGAAACATTTGAAAATATTGCCGGTGTCGATTGATTCGTGCCCCTCTCCCAGGCTGCCGAGGTCATGCTCTTGTTAACAACGTCCACCCTCCGAAAAAAGGTCTCGACCCATTCCCTGGGGCTAGTTCTTCCTATGGAGTGGCCCTTTGACGGGCCCGAGGGCCGGCCAGGGCCCCCAGAGGCAGAAACTCGCGAGAACCCTCCCGTCGTGCTTTGCTCAGAACTCGAGGGGGTCTGGGCTGGAGGGTTTCTCCGAAGGGCTTAGGCGACCCGTCCTCCTCCTCCTCCTCTTCCTCCTCCTCCTCCTCCCTCCTCCTCCTCCTCCTCCTCCTCCTCCTCCTCCTCCTCCTCCTCCTCCTCCTCCTCCTCGTGTCGCCTGTACGGCCCCTGGGGAAGCCGTGCAGGCGGGGCTCCTCCGCCAGGAGGCCGCGCCCCGCCCGGGCAGCGCCTCGTCCACCCCGTCGCGGCCGGGCAGCTCGGCCGCGGGCAGCTCGCGCCCGAGCCCGCGGGAGTGGGAGGTGTCAAGCAGTGGCGAAGCGTCCTGGCTCGCCTATAGCCCCACCAAAGAATGTTCTAAGACCTTTTTGTGGTTTCCACGAAGTGTTCTTAGAGCCTTTCTGGCGGAGCCTGCCTTGTCTTATCACATCGGGGTTCTGTTCTAAGAACACTGTTTTTGTTTTTCGAACATTTTTGGGTTCTAAGAAGATTTCGTGGTAGGACTATAGGACTGCCGGGACGGTCGGTCCCTGCTCAAGGAGTGGGAGGTGGACGACGCGGCCCTGCTCCGCCCCGGCTGGGGGTCTCTGAGGTCGGAGGAGGATCAGAAACTGGAGCCTATACGTTACCAGTGGCGGGCCGTCTTCCAATCCCAGGACTCTTTTAGGGTCGGGGACGACGTCGGGGTGGTGTAGTGTAATACTTGTTTCCCCATTTTCCCAGGAAACGTGGGACAATGTATACACCAGGTTCCCGTATACACCAGGCTCCGCTTTCTTGCGCAAAGGTCCGTGCAGGGCCGCACAAAAACGTCGGTGTATAGAGCGCGGTTCCCTAGAGGAAGTCCCTCAGGGGCAACGATTACAGGCGGGGCAATCACGACGGGTTTTTTGTTGTTGCTGCTTTCGGCCTCCGGGGGCCCTCACCGGTCCTCGGGACCGTCCAGGAACGACTCGGGACGAGGAGCTGGTCCTGGTGAGGGGGTCCAGACCGCTGGGGGTCCACGTTTTGAAAGGTTCACGACGTCAGGGGGTCTGGGGGAGGAAGTCCCTCACTGGCAACGGCAGGGGGGGACAGGTAGAGGGTGGAACGCACCGATCCCCAACCGCTCATTGATCACCGATAGCGGCCCGCTAGCCCCAACCCGCCCAGGAGCGTGCGGATGCACCATCAGGGGCCTATCGCCGATCTATCGGCGATGTATGTTCCAGCCTACTTTAGCCGTGATTATTAGACAGCATTCCGAGCACCACGAAAGCGCCGAAACTTGAGGGTTTTCACGCGTCTGGCCCTGGGGGGGCGATACTCGTTAGACACTGTTTCGACACCTCTGGGTGCTCGAAGCTATCTCTGGGATGCGGTCCTCGAGCACGATGGGAGCAACATGTCCCTATCTCTCAGTTCTTCCCGATCGTTGCCCCCCCCAAGGTCGGAGGAGGAAGTCCCAGCCGCCACGGAGGGAGCGGATCCCGAGGGAAGCGTGTCCCGAGCTCTCTCTCGCGCGCCTCTCGGGCTCCTGGGGCCCGCCACGGGCCCCCCCGGGGCTGTCGGAGAACGGCTCGGGACGAAGATCTCGTCCTGGGGGGAAGGCCCCCAGGGGTCCACGACCCGCTTCCCTCAAGACCCGCTTCCCCCCATGTTAAATTCTAGACGCTTCGCGCATCCCCACCAGCCCGTCCAGAAATGAGTCCCGGGTGAGTGGAGGCGATGAGGGAAGCGGGGGAGCATGCAGGAGAACAAAGGGCGGGGTAACCCGCCACATACCCCAAGAGGGGGAGGATGTAGGAGGAGTCGTCGGGAAGAGGAGGAGCAGGAGCAGGAGTAGGAGCAGGAGGGGGAGGAGGAGGAGGAGGAGAAGGAAGATGATGAGGAGGAGATGGAGGAGGGCGAGGACGTGGAGGACGAGAAGGAGGAAAAGGAGAATGAGGAGGAGGAGGAGGAGGAGGAGGAGGAGGAGGAGGAGGAGAGGGAGGGGGAGGAGGGAGGAGAAAGACCCGCTTCCCTCAGGACCCGTTTCCCCCATGCTAATTCCCATACGTGTGCGCGTCGCAGACAACATCAGGACGGAGGCTTTTCCTCGTTTTCGGCCGCGGCCCCTTACCGGGTTCCAGGGGAGGGTCCGGGGACTTCGGGGGCCGCGCATTGACCAAGGTAATCAGGACATCGCCTGTTTGGAAAGGGCTTTGATCCCGCTATACTCTTTGGCGCTTTTTCTGATCTCGGCGGCGCTCGGGCGCCGCTATCGGGCCCGCAGGGATCACCAACAACGGGTCCAGGGCGAACAATTACTTCCTGGGCAATGATCTGAACCTCTGGGATCGATCAGGTGAGGAAGCGATACCTGTTCTCGCCGCCTCCCAGGAGGTCCTCGTGGTCACGGCTGGATTCGTTTCGAGCTCCTGCTCAGACCGCACCCCTGGAGAGGTCTGGGCAGTCGCGGCATCGGCATCGTTGGGATCGTTTTCTATCCTCGGGCGCGTATAGAGGCTGTTGCCCAGGCCAACCCCCGCCCCCGGGCAGCAGTAGCGATTGTAGGGGGCGGGGGGCCGGCCCCCCCCCCACACATGCTGGTGCTCGCGCGCGCAGGCTGGCGATCGCAGCGCAACCCCGCCCAGACGTGCCCCGCCACGCCCAAGCGTTTCCCATTACCCCGGGGGACCTTCCCCCCCCCCAGGTAACGACCCTTAGCACTGAAACGTTCATGTGGGCTTCCCCGCGAGGGGCCGCGACTGCGCCATCTGCTGCCAGCCCTTCCGCGCGGGCGGCGTGGAGCCGCAGGCGCTAGCCCTGCCGTGCGCGGCGCGCGGCTGCCAGTGCTTCTTCCACGACGGTTGCATCCGCCCGTGGCTGGAGCGCAAGCCGAGCTGCCCCCTCTGCAGGCGGGACCTGCGCGCTGTGGTGCGGCCGCGGGCCCCAGCCGTGGGTGGCGAGGCGCGCTGCCGCCCCGCCACCTTCCGGACCGTCGTCGCGGACGGCGCTGCCATGGGGACCGCTGGGCCGAGGCCCGACCTGGACCTCTTGGACGAAGGCGCAGGCCGGTCGCTGAGCTCCAGGCCCGCGCTGCTCGAGGAGGCGCCCGGCGGGGCGGCGGCCACCTTCCGGCCAGTGCCCTACGGGGACAGCATCGGCCGCATCGAGAGGCTGCTGGCCGCCGCCACCGCGCAGCCCGCAGCCTCGCCGCCCACGCCACAGGCGCGCCCCCGCCGCCACCGCTCCCGCCGCGCCTCCGCCGCTGCCGCGGGTGCCGCCACCGCCATCGTGCCCCTGGCGCCCCCGCCGCCGCTGCATCCGCCGCCGCTGCCAGCTGCCACCGCCGTCCGCGCCACCGCTGGCTCCTCGCCGCCGCCGCCGCGCCGCCGCCGCGGCCGCTGCCGGCGGCGGCACCGCCGCCCACCGCGCGGCAGGCCCCCCCCCCGCGGGCGGAGCGCCCGGCGCCCCCCGCGCACGTGCCGACCTGGGCCGCCGCGGCGCGCGGCGGGGCGCCCGCCGCGGCGGAGCGCTCGGTGCCGCCCCTCGCCGGCCGGGCGCTGGCGCCGGGCCGGCTCGCCGCCTCCATTCGGGGGCCAAGAAGGGGGGCACCGGGAGGGCCCCGTGCAGGCACGAGCATCGGAGGCCCGGGCACCGATGATGGACACCTGCACACCGGTCCGTGGCCGGGCCGATCCTGGGACCGGGATCGGTGTGTTATCTTAGCCTGCCTGCAAGATCGGTGTGGCCTTGTATAGTTGGCGCAACAAGAAACCACAGCCACAACTGAGTGGCCTGTTCGGGAGGGCCCGTCGGGGAAGAACCCACCGACCTTGACGTGAGCACTCTGGTTGTGGTCGTGGTCGATTTGGCCGTCCCGGGACCCCACATCGACCACAGCCAGCCTTAACTTGGGTTCGGTGCTCTGACACTTGCTGGCATGTACAGGCCGTCCCCCAGGGTGTGTCCTCGATGTGGTTGTGGTCGCTTGCGGTCCCCGAGATCCAGGCGTCGCACGTTTTCACACTGGCGGGTCTTCGCCTCCGTGGCCGTCGCAGATCGCTCTGGCTCGAGCAATGGCCCAGGAAGATGGGGCGGGGCTCCAGTCGTGTTTTCTCGGGCTGCTGCATGTGTTCCCGACGTCGGATCCCAGGGAAGAAGTGCACGGTGAGCCTGCGACCGCACGAGTAATTACGGAGCGAAGCCCCCAGAGCGCCCCGGGGGCACCGTTGTATTCTGGGCCCCGGGAGCGACGGTGCACGAGGAGCGCTGTGGGAACGGCCACGGAAGGACCCGAGGATCAGCTGGCCTTTTCCGATCCCAACTTTTCCTTTAAGTAAACAACACTTCAGCGTATACACTGAGCTTTCGCATAGCTATTTACATACAAAATTGAATGCTAGCCCTCCCCCGGGGACCCCATCATAAGAGAGAGGGGGAGAGAGAGAGAAAGAGAGAGAGAGAGAGTGAGAGAGAGAGGGAGAGGGCGAGGGAGGAACGCAGAGACTGAGGGAGAGAAAGGGAGAGTGAGAGTGAGAAAGAGAGAGAGAGAGAGAGAGAGAAATGATACAAATCTACAACGCTCTACGCTGTTACAGGCACTGCTGTTGAACATGATACACTGCAGCGCAGTTTTTTGCTATATATATACATACATACATACATATATATATATATATATATATATATTATCCGGAAACCGAAAACAGCACATCGCAGTCTCCTTAGTACAGATATCACCCCCTACATGAAGATGTTGATGGTAGATGTTGACGCAGAGGCGAGCGGTGATGATGAGGAGGAGTAGGATGAGGCGGAATGAGGAAATGAGGAGGAGGAGGAGGAGAAACTAGGGGGGGAGAAAGAGAGAGAGAGAGAGAGGAGGGGAGAGAGACAGAGAAACAGAGAGAGACAGAGATAGAGAGAGAGAGAGAGAGAAAGAGGTAGAGAGAGGGGAGGAGAGAGAGAGAGAGAGGAGGGGACCGACTCCTATTCCTATGTTTTATTACCTGGACCCTCACCCCCCCATCCTCACTTCTTACGATCAAACACCCCCACATCCCCACCTAGCTGGCCGATAGCAACCCCGCCGTCGTAACTGTCAAAAAACAACACAAACTCAATTTGTTTTCGCCAACATGTCGTCGAGATGCGAAAAGTGTAAAAGGAATGGGACGGAATGAACGTCGCTTGGGTAACCCTAAGCGGGTAGTCGCGTCCTACCCATCAAAAACAATACAAAGTCAACATTTTTCTCGTCAACGTGGACTTTCTTGTCGTCGACGCTTTGAAAAAGTAGCAGGAATGGGACGCGACGTACATCGCGCGCGGACGCCTGGCCAACCCTACGCGGGACCCCCCGTCCTACCTGTCACAGAGCACTGCAACGTCGACGTTTTTCTTGCCAACATGTATTTTCTCCTCGTCGGCGCTGATCGCGCAGCGGGAATGGGACGCGGCGCACATCGCGCGGGGACGACTGCTCGTCAACATGGACTTTCTTGTCCTCGACGCTGCGGCCCGTCGGGTTGAGGAGCTGGGCGGGCGGCAAGTCATAATGCCTCAAGCAAGTGCGATTCGCCGCCGGCGCGCCCATTGTCGTGTCCACGTAAGAAAGACTTTTGGCAACAGTGACCTTTGGTGCGCACAAATCAAACCAAAATCGACCTCCGGACCCCTCCGGCCGTGGCAGAGAGGGCCCCCCCCCGAGGGCCAAAAAGCAGCGCACAAAAGGTCACCCCGGCAAAAAGTCACCCTTACGCGTCGGCGACGTTGTAGCGTCGCGGCCGTTGTCGGCTGTCGCGGCGCCGGCGGCGAAGTGTCCGAGCGCCTCCATGGCGGGACTGTTGGGCAGCGGGGCCGGGTTTCTCCGGGGACAGGGTGCATTCGGAGCTGAGCCGACCCGGCGACGAGACAGTGCAAATTGCATTGCGGAAAGGGCGTCGGTCTTCGTCGTCCTCCGTCTCATCATCGCCACCAGAGTCATCGTCCGCGTCGTGCTCGTCATGGTCGACGTCGTGGCCGTAGGTCCCACGTGCAGTGGGCGGAGCTCAGGCGTAGCTGGCCGGACCACTTCGCGCGCGGCATCTCTGAGCCCAACGTTGGGCGGATGTCTCAGGCGAAACTGGGTGGACCACCTCGGGTGGAGTCATCTATGCGACCAGAGTTGCATACATGTCTCTGGTGAAACTGGCCCGAGCGCTTCGCGCGCGGCATCCGTGAACCCAGAGATGGAAGATGCGTCAACCGAGAGTCGCCGACGATGCAACATGAGAGGCCAGGGTGGGGCGCGGCGTACATCGCGCGCGGTCGTGTTTCTCGTCGACACTGCTCAACGGGCCGCAGGAATAGGACGCAGCTCACGTCGCGCGCTGAACGTCGTTTAGCCGCCCACGGTATAAGATGAGCGACAGGCGTCGGACGCGACGCACTTGCTTCATATGTTTCGGGATGGCGGGTGGGAGTGGACGGAACCCTCTGGCTCGTTCGAGCTGGCTAACTGGACCACCCCCCACCCCCACCCCCTAAACCAGACCCCTCCTGGGACGTTCCACATGCCCTTTCGGACGTTTCGGCGGCCCCCTGGACGCCCCTGGACATGGTCCGGTGGGCTTTCTGGGCCTCCCAGGGCGCCTTGCCTGGACTTGCGAGCAGACTCGAGGCGATCAGAGGGGTCATGGAAGAGGGGCAAAAGAGACCCAAGACAGCACAAAAAACGCTCCAAGAGGAACCTCGATGGTCTGAAGACGGCCCAAGAGGCCCCCAAGGCGCCCCAGGCGTTTAAGAGAGCGCCGGGGAAGCAAACAGTGCCCCATTTCCTGAGGAAGCTTTATATTTCCAGCATGTCGGCTTGCAGCGTCCGAGACGGCCCGATGGGCCCCCGATATCGGCCCAAGACGGCCCCAGAGGACCCCCAGAGGGTTTGAAGACGGCCCAACCCAAGAGTGTCGAGCCCCGAGACTGCCCACAAAAAACCCGAGATGCCCCCAGAAGGCTCCCAAGAGAGACCCACGAAAAACATGGGAGACCCCCAAGGCCATTGGAGGCCCCCACGAGGGCCCGATATGGCTTCAGAAGACCTCTGGAGGGCCCCAGCTCCCCAAGACGGCCCAAGAAGGCCCCACGACGGCCCAAAAGGGCTCCAGGACGGCCCCCAAAAAACCCAAAACGCCCGGACGGCGTTTTCCTAACGAAATACACCGAGCTGGCCCGACAATCTTGGTTCCACGCGTGTGGTTCGAGGTGTAAATTCCTCGATCGAGAGAGACAGGCAATGCATCGATGTTCGAAGTTCGACGATCGAACATGTCCTGAGTTCTTGGAGTCCAGGCCTCGAGGTCCCCCCCTGCTGAAGCAAACGTTGAGTTGTTGCTTTGCCGGGGAGGGTATGGAACAAGGCGCATGGCGCGAAACGCCAACGCAGTCTTGTTTATATATGGTGAGAGAGAGAGAGAGAGAGAGAGAGAGAGAGAGAGAGAGAAAAAAGAGAGAGAGAGAGAGAACATACCATAACATACATACAGAGATAATTCAATATACAGGAAGGGGGGAGGAGGAGAGAGAGAGAGAGAGAGAGAGAGAGATAGAGAGAGAGAGAGAAAGAGAAAGAGAGAGAGAGAGAGACAGAACGAGAGAGAGAGAGAGCGAGAGGGAGCGAAAGAAAGAGTGAGGAGGACGATGAAGAGGAGGAGCTTCTTAGTTTTGTTTCACGCGGAGTGTTTTTGTCTTGTTGGGAAACGTCACGCTGATGATGTGTGTTTCCATTTGATTTTATTTGATCCTTGAGATCGTCGCAGGTTTCCTTAGTGTAGATTTGTCCCTGTGAAATCTTTGGGGTGCAAACAAAACAACAACTTATAGTCTTAATGAGGCCTTCAAACATTAAAACATCACATGTGTTCGGGTGCTTGATTGGACGGGAGGAAGAGAAGAGAGCTACGGAACACAATGCGAAATCTAGACAACAGGGAACAACAAGAAACTCATACACTTGAAAGCGAAAGAGTGCCAGTGAATGCCCCCGCCCCCAATTGAAAACGGGGGCGGTGCTTGCGCATCCCCCCCCCCCTTCAAGGGGGGGGGAGTTTGCGGACTCCCCCTTCCCTTTGGAAAAGGGGGTGGGAGTTTCGGATCCCCCCCCGCTTGCGCCCGAGGGGAGGGGGGGGGATTTCGA